CTGTGGGCAGGTTAAGTGTCAGATTTACAAAAAAAATATACCAAATGATAAGTAAAGACATCAAGCATCTATATAAAAAAAAATTATATTGATATGTTCATTTTTGAAAAAGTTACGGCAGTTTTTAGTAAAAAAAATTAAAAAAATATCGAAAATTAGCGGTTTTTTAAATTTGTAATTTTTTTGGAGGTTTCCCCCATTTACGGGGAACGAGGGAATTTTTTTCAATTTTTAAGGGTAATGTCTTCGACTAGATACGATTTGTGATCTTTTGACGTATCATTGAAAGAAATCGGTTCGGTGAGAGCTGAGAAAAAGTGGTAACAGACACAANAAAATCACTATCATAAGAAACAATTCGATACAAATCTGTAGATAGTATTTAATTCTATGAAATTGGTGTATAATTACAAAAGTAACATCATCTTCTATTTCCTTAATTATATCCAGATTAGTAATTCTTAGGTTCAAAATATAATACATAATTTTTAATTATATATTATATAATTTTTATAATTAATTGTTTTCAAATTATTATTGATTTTGATTTATAATAAGTTAAAATTAATTATTTTAAACCTACTTTTTTTCGACCTTAAAAGTGATAATTTATAATTTTAAAAAATGAATTTATTACTATAACTTTTAGCTCAACTTACAACTTTGAAATACACATAATTAAATAGAAAAAAATAAAATTGTTAAGATTAATATGCAGTCAGCAAATTGTGTAATTACTATTTACAGTAAATTTATCAGAATAGCTCTATTTTTTTTTTTTTGCATTTTTATTGTAATAGATCACTTAAATATAAATCATACTAATTATTTATAATTTAATTTTGGTGTTTAAAAAGATTCTAAAATTGAAATATGCAGAACTGAATTAATTTTAATAATTTACTTTAACTAAAAAAACCAATAAAAAAAAAGTTGTTAAAAAGATCTACTCAATTGAACATATTATAAAATTTTATTATAATTGTAAAAATCCATTGTTAATTCAGGTGAAACTGAATATCATTTATTTTTAGATTTTTGATTTATAAGCAACATGTTACAAAAAAATTTGGAATATTATAGATTAGTGGTTACACACAAATTACATTTTTGTTAAATTCGACGGCCATTTTCCCATAGAAGAAAAGGTGACGGGACAAATTTTTTTTTTTTTAAATTGTAGTATATATTGTAAGCTTTAATTTGACATATATTTAAAGGACGTTGTATTTCCGAAACATTTTCAAAGTTAGACTGAAAACGTTCTACTTTTATATGCGTATGTGTCAATTTTTATACCCCCCCCTGTATAAAGGAAAATTGTTCGATTTAAATTAAAACTATATTAAATAAAAGAAGTACATATAATGTATTTAGACAAAAAAATTTGTGTTGATACATACATTATTCAACAAGTTATAACAATTTAAAGTTGAAAATTTTAACACAAAAATAGCATTTTTTTAACTACGGCAGCTGTTTGCACATAAAAGATAATAGGCCAGTCAACAAAGGAGTAATTTTGGTAAATGGCGGAAAAAATTCTCAACCAAATTTTTTTTTTTTTTAAAGTTCACTTAAGATATGTATAATGACATACTAAAAGTCCTCTTTGATTGGAATTGGACTTGTTTTTACAGATTGCAAAAGTTCAAAAAATATGAGCTTTTTTAATTTTATCAAAAAATATTTAACTTACAAAAAAATATTTCGTACAAAAGTTATTTAGTTAATTTTAAACAAAAAAGGTATTTTTTATTTTTCCATTTAAACAAATATTTTTCGATTTACATTACATTTAATATGAGTACTAAAATTTATTTTCTATTTTTTAAATGTTATAAATGCATATGTGCGTATGTGTTAGTTTATTTATTTATAATATCATTAAAGTGTAGTGTATATTAAGATACAACCGATAGAGTAGGTAATTGATTTGACGCTATATTGTTTAAACCCAACCAAACGCTAAATTGTACATTTCCAGACAACAATTATACTATATCAATTGGCACCGGAATTTCTGGTAATGATAAAGATAATTATTATAAAGCGTATTGGCCTTTGGTCAGGTACTGGAGCTGTTAAAAATTATGGCTAAGTAGATATATATAAGTAGATGATTTTTATATAAATTTCACTCTCGATAAATGAAATTTTTATTTGCGATTAAAATAATAATTACATTTACTTTTACCTGATAAGCACATATGATTGATATATATTGTAACAAAATAATAAGTCCAATACTACTCATAAAAGTCATCGTAATTAGAATTACAAATTTTTTGATACGTGTCAAATAAGTAATTTTCTATAAAATAAAATTTCGAGCTTCATGAATCCTATTTAAAAATTTAGGATACACAAAAAACAGATAAAATAATTTGTTTACATTCAAAATTTGAAGTTCTATTTATGAAACAAAATAGGTTAACGATTTATCTTAAAATCTACCCATATAAAACATGAATTCTAAATTATATTGTCTAATGAATGTATTTTTAAAAAAAATTTGACGTCATTAATATGGTAACTTTTGTTGTTTAAATAAGAACAATAAATTATGATAAAGAAATTAGTATTTTTAATTAGATTTATTAACATGAACAAAAATATATTTAATACCCATAGGCACTAAAAAAATGTTGTATATTATAAAACCTATATTTCAATCACTAAAAGTTAATATCAAAATCCCATAACATCAACTCAAAACTACATAACATTACGTTTTGTGATTTTTTTTTTTTTTTAGAAGAAAAAAAATAATTTCCGAAATATGTAGGAGTCTAATCGTAGAGATTAATTCCGTCTATTTTAAAACATTGATATTATGTCTTTTTGAAAATGTTGAATGTTTCTAATTTCTGTTTAATACTTTTTGGTAATTTCATATTCAGAACTGCATAGTAAAAAATTTCAATGTTTAACTGATATAAATAATTAAATATCAATTTATTGTGTAATTACTTACAGTAAGTATAAATTGTTACAGTATTTATAAAAGCTGTAGTTTTAATGATTATTTGATAAATTTTTTTTTATTGCTCATTTCTTGTGATGCAAGTTTTTTATTTATAGTCCGCATTCTAAAATATATTCTTGTTCTAATAATGAAGTTTAGGACTTCATCATCCACCAAAAGATCATCTGAATTACATGCTTTTTTAGCTAACACCAGTACCTCCTTTATTAAGTCTGGAGTTTTTCTAGTATCTAATAAAAATTCAATCATAGGTATGTATGTATATATATATATTGCGCACAATGGACTAACAGGTCTGAGTGCATGGGCATTATGTCCACCACAATAATAACTAGGTATGTATACAGGGTGTTCAGTAAGTCAGGAAACGGGTTTCTATTGTTCTCATTGTTTGTAACAATGAGAACAATAGAAACCCGTTTCCTGACTTACTGAACACCCTGTATAATATTTTACATTAACTGTATTTCTATAAGTACCATTTTAATTTTTTTTAAATAGTTTCTATGATTTTTCCTAAATTTATTAATGTAGGTGATGGTTGTCATAATATTCCAATTTGTTTAGCCTCTATCCAATCATTAGGTTCATTCAAATTATCTACAAGATTCGGATATTTGTATTCAAATTTAAAAGCTATATATCCCATTAAATATGTGAAGCTGTCCTCCTCAAATAAATCTGATGGATTATATTCATTATTAGCAGCACACTAAAAAAATATAACATAAAAAGGTACTAGAAATATTGAATATATTACTTTATTTTATTTTGATAATATAAAAACATAATCTATATTTTAAGATTATATTATACTATTTCTCTCATTCACTTATTAAGTAAAAAAGTTAAAATAATTTCTATAAATAATGTTGATTGTTTTTTTTAATTCACATTAATTATTACTCATTCATTAAAAGAAAAAAAAATGTTATGCGCTATGTTTTCCAAGAATGTACCATCTTAACCTAATGTTATATATTTAATATTAATTTCTTCAATATCTTTCTAATTTATTGTTTTTAAAATGAAAAATAATTTTATGTGTCAATTATGTCTGTTTATAATCACTACACATAAAGCCGATTAGAAAAATCTTTGCTAAACAGCATCAAACAAAAAAATACTCAAATATGAGTTAAAAAGTTACAAATCTCTATTATGAGACATATAGAAGAGAAATGAATAAAATACAACAATTTCATGCAAAAAATAAGGACTGTTATTAACAAGTTAATGTGGTGTTAATTCAATGTTAGAACATGAAAAAATAAGTCTGTAAACTAGTTAATATAGCTCACGTTTAATTAACGAGGTACAAAATCCTAATTTTTCATTAAAATACAAAAGTTACAACAAAAAAAATACATAGAATCTAAAATAAGTATCCACGATTTAATTTAATATAAAATATAAATACAATGCGTTGTTTTCAAGTAATTAATATAAACTTAAAAATTATGTCTATCATATATATTATATCAGAATTATCAATTTAAAAATCGTGCGATTTTAAAATGCATTCGGCAATGGTCGTTTTTTACCGATCGTATACGAATGCATAAAAACACAAGGTGATGCACTTGCGCGTACTACGACGAAAATGCGGACTGCGATCGAGCATACTTCTTATTCATTTTACTATGCCTGTTGTAGCATTATGCAGTTTAAGTTAAGTTACGTTTGTTTTCATTTAGTTAAGTGTTTTTTTTTTTTTGTATGAATTGGTAAAACATTGTTCAAGTTTTGTTTTTAAAATACATTATTCATATTATTATTTTGAAGGCATACAGTTGTTTTCATTTTTCCTTCTTTTTTTACCTTGGCTGGTGCATTTTTGTAGTGAAACTGCAGATATTCTATTACTGTTGTAAATTGTAATTCATTTTATTCATATAGAGCATGGCTGTATGTAAGCAGTATGGAGTATTATATTTATGGATTATTCGGTTCGATAATGGTAGGTTCAGTTGTTCGTATTTAATTATTTAGTTGTATTCATTGGGCTGGGTAAGCTTATTTTATGTTAACAAAAAATATTTTTCTTTTGGCAATTTTAAATTGATTAAAAACCTTTTTTGTTGATTATTAGTTGTCCCTATTTTTAGCCGTGCGGCGGAATTCTATTTCCCATTTTTATTTTGGATTTTTTTAGAACAGCCCAAACGGTAACAAAATATTACATACTATGTAACGTTTACCATCTCGCTTTTTCAATGGAATAACAACGCAAATGCAAATTATTCACATAAAAACAAAACATATAGGCTTGACATAAATTAAACTGAATTTTTCATTTGTTATTTCTAGTTTATTCCTTCCTAGATATCATTTTTTTTTAAAATAATTTACGGATAATAATTTGTTGTTAATTATGAATAAATTGTCTGTCAAAAAATTTCATCAGAGTCAAAAATATACTTTTAATATTCAATTTTTGGTACTAATTTTGAATCAGCAATTATATGTTTTCCATCAACAATAATTTTTTATATTATTGTTAATTAGTTAAAAACTATAGGATATAATTATAAGGAAAATAGTTCTAAATATATCAATTGTATCATTTATTAAAACAACAAGTGTTACGTTGAAATGATTTATTACGATTAAAAAATTATTCAAAACAAAAAACAATTGTTTTTAAATTATTACTGATTTTGATTTTTAATATATTAAAAATAATCAGTGAAAACATCGATTATAACCTATTTTCTTGATTCTTTAAAGTTGATTTTTCGAAAATTTTTAGTAAAAAAGTTGAATGTGTTACCATGACTTTTAGCTCAACTTGCAAGTTTAAAATTTATATCATTAAATAAAAAATTTTATGAGAATTAAAAAATGGTACTGTTCAGTATAATATGCAGTCAAAAAATTTTATTATTATTATTTACAGTAAATTTATTAGAAAAGATCAATATTTTTTTGTATTTATCGTAATACATCTCTTAAATAGAAATCATAGTAACAATTTCTAAGTAACTTTTGATGTTTAAAAAGAATATACAATTGAAATATTCAGAACTTAATTAATTTTCAGGATTTACCTTAACTGAAACAAGTAATCAAAATATTGTTTATGTACTTAATTTAGTGTATTATAAACATTTATTTTAATTGTAAAAATCCATTGTTTAATCAGAAAAAACCCAAAGTCATTTTTTTAGAAATGATTTATATAGTAAGATGTTACCAAAATATGTGGAATATTATAGACTGGTAGTAACAAACACAAATAAAGTTAAAAAATTAATAAATTACAAAGTACAATTATTTAATTTTGTAGTTGAAACCTATTATCATATCAAACTTAATTCGGCAGTAAATACTTTAAAAACATTAGAAATTAATGATTTTAATTATCATTATGGAGAATGTCTAAGTATCTTTTTATATGATAAAGTGAGAGCTGAGAAAATAAATGAGAGCCACAAAAAATAATTTGTTATATCATTTGCGTAGTTTAAGAGAACTATAGCAAATTACAAAAAATACTAGGGTAATAGTTAATCAAAATATTAATTTCAGAAGTGTTTTTTTAATTGTACATGTGAAATCTAAAATAAATAATAAACAATAATAAAACAATAATATTTATAAAATTTACTTTTTAATTTTTGATACTTAGCCATTACTATACAATAAAAGCTAAGTAGATAAATCTTCAGTAAATTCAAGTTTATCGTCTAACTTTATGTTTTGACAGTCTGAAACTTTTCTAAAGCCCAGATTTTTATAACAAGATATGTAAACATCTTCACAAAAATTGTCAAAATAATTACATGCATTATGAATCATTTGCATATGATATTCAAGATTTTGATTCTTTGATGTATTTATTGAATTTTTTAATGTAGATACAATATTCTTAAATTCTTTAATTTTTTTTAATTTTCTATAATAAGGTTTGTTTATATAACAACGGGTATACATTAGTTTCTTTTCTCTATGTAAGTATAAATAAAATTCTTGAAGAAAATTTTCAAATGTTTTTAGAAAACTTTCAACCATTACAAATTTTTCGTTATCGTTTTTATCAATAAAATTATTTTGAGAAAACTTATTGATCATAAATGAATTGATAATATACTCAATACACTTTGATATGATCTTTAAACTCGATTTAGAGCTAAAATTAACACTCCATATTGATGATTTATTTAGAATAATTAAAGCTTCATACAATCCTTGCAGCATTTTTTGAGATTTGTTAAATGAATTAAACAATTGAATCAAACAATTGTGATAGTAGGTAGATGCATCTTTAATGCATAAATAAAAAATAGCAGATAATAATGTATAATAATTTTTAATTACTTCTCCATATCTACATCTTAGTAGTTGTGACACATGTTCTTTTTTTATTTGAAAATTTATTTCACTAATTGGGTCTTTTATTATATGATCTACGTCGAATAGTTTACTACAATAAATTATACTTATGTGGTTCATTGATTCCCACCCAGACTCCTGAAGAAGAATCGTAAGAGCTTCAATTCCATCATTTTGATTTATTGTTTTATCTTTTGGAGGTATACATCTATGTCAAAAATCATATATTTTGATTATTACGTAATTATATAGATACTTTAAAATTAATTATTATAAATTGTATAGTTTTACTTTCATTCAGATTAATTACACAATAATGATAAAAATATAGAATTATTATTTTATATTTATTTGATATGTTAATATATTAAAAAATAAACTAAACTAACTATACTATAGTTATTTAAAAAAATTCTATACTTAGTATAGAAGTTTTATGATTTGATAAATTAAAAAAATAACAATATTTTAAGAATATTTCTTTCTTAAATTTCTATGAATTAATTTTTGGATAAGTAGCAAACATAAGCTTATGTGTAAAATTTATTACGCACAAAAATAGTGATTTATTTATATGAATCCACATCAAAACATCTTAATAAATAGAAATAATACCAAAATAATGTTGTTGTGCAATCTTACTAAAAAACCAAATTAGTTTTTTCCAATAAAAAAAACTATATTTTATTTCGTAACGATATTATTTCTTTTTTTTAAATTTTTAAAGACCTGTTGAATATTTATTATAATACGTTTTACAAATTGATTGCCAAAAAATAATTGTATACTTTCAAAAAACATATTTGTAATCAAATATATTAGAAAATACATTTAAATATATGAATTCTTACTTCAATGATGTGGGGTTAAGAAATCGTTCAAAGACTAGATTTTTGTACCAAATTTCTATAGTTTCGTTGTAAAACTTATTAAGTGTACTACTTGTTGAATATAAAATATCAAAGTTATTTTCATTATGCCATTCCGCTATATTAATTGTTGTCCAATTCGTTATTATAAAAGTGTTGTTGACATTATAATTATGAGAAATATTATTTACTCTGTTAGATGCATCTGTATAAAATTTAATAAAATTCTCAAATTTTATTTCAGATTCTTGATTTGGTGATTTATTGAGATCAAAAGACCTGGTCTCTAAACTTATTTCTAAGACAAATTGATATATAAAGTCGATTTCGTCAATTATAGGATGTAACACCATGTTTTCAAAAAACAAAAATCTTATATCTATATAGCTTATAAACTTCATGGCATTGTGTAAATTTTCGAACATTGTCTTGGATTGTTTCACTTGTTCTTCGAGTACTATTACACAATGAATAAAATTTTCCGATAAGTTTCTTTCATGAAATTGCTGACATTTACACATAATAATAGCTATATAATCAAGGAATTTTTTTAGTATTATAGTGTATTTGTAATTGAGAACACTTATTGTATATTGATAATTACACATTAATTCCCTATACTTGTTTGGCTCGAAAGCTTTCTCTATATCAGTAGTATTATTTAAATTTGATGTTTGATTTATCTTTTCACTAATTTTAATTCGTAAACCAACGTGAGTCACAAATCTTTCAATGTAAAGTTTATACTTCTTATGATAACTTCTGCAATATATTCCTTGATCTGGTCTCAACGCCATAACGACAATAGTTACTAAAATAAACGAATAAAATTCCATCATAAAAAAATATTAATATTAATATTAATACTTTAATCAAACTAGTTTTTTAATTTTTGGGAAGGTTAACAATGATCATGTGCATATGTCTTCATTATTATTTTATATAATTTATTTTTAGTAAAATGTATAAATAATATAAATTGTTTTCTTACATTGGTAAAAATATATTTCTATTTAATAAAGCAAGTTTTTTTATTATTTTTCAAATAATTTTTTATAGGATTTGTTAAATATTTTCGCTTTGAAATTCTGTGTCTATAATATCAAAATTGCTTACAAGAACTTTTTGTGCTATATTATATTATTTTATATAGTGATCTAATTATTACTTTTAAAAAAGTTTAATTTAAGTGATATTTAAAAGTTTTATTTAAATTAAATACGAAGTCATAGTTCTATTTTTAATACTTTTACTCGATCAAAATGAAATGCGGTTTTTTAATTACAAAACATTTCGAGTATTCTATAAATATTACTATGTAAATATATAATATACCTTTTTATGTAAATATAAATTTCAAATCAAATATGTGTTATATTGTAAAAAAAATATAAGTTACGAATAGCTAAGTTTAACTTATTTAATTTTAAATGTACATGTATTCTATTGAAAAAACAGTAGTATAATATACCTCCTGTGATTTTTAAAACATATATTTTGAACAACTTCAGGTAAGAGTAATTTTACTACACTAATCAAATAATAAATAGAAATCAAAGAACTTGTATTAATTATATCATTACGAATGGTGCTATTATCATTCTTTGATATTATCACCTCTCCTATTAACTTCTTTCTTTTGATTGATACAAATTTAATATTGTAACCCTTACGGATAATTTATAAAAAATTATAAAGTTGTTTAATTATAAAGTTTTTTTTTTACTTATGAATGAATTTATTGGTCTACAAGGTGTAATAGATATTTAACACTTATAATTTTATTTTATTTATATTTTTATAGTGATGACTTTTCTAATAAATCACATTATCATGGGAGATGATAGATATAAAACACCAATATACGTATGAAACATTAACTCAAATTAGTACAATAATAGATTGCGCGTGTGTCTCTTCAAGTTTAATTAAGTAGTCAACGAGAAGCATTTTTCAATTAAAATCTAAAACATAAATTTTCCCCCTCAAAAAACAGGCCTATAAAAGAGCAATTTTTATCTCATTTGCCACCTTATTTTTTCTAAAAATTTGGTCATAAAGCATCTCTGCAACAGAATGTTTCGCGATTGTGCTCTCTTGGCCTTAGAAACTTTTTCACACTTGATGTTTTTCATCTAACTCTCTTATAAGTAATGTAATAAAAACAATAATAACTTAACCATTTTATATTATTTATTTTTAATTTAAAATGTTTACAAATTATTAAGACAAATAATTTTATATTTTGTGAAATGTTTCAATTAAGAATTTTTTAATTCTTCAATTGGAGTGTCTTATTAGTGCACTTATTGAATGCATTTCGAAAATCTACCTTAAAATATCTAGCGGTTAAAACTGTCGTAAAACAATAGTTTGTGACGTTTCACTAAGGAGATCGTAGAATGCATTTTAAATTTGAATAGATACGTGTTTGATTGATTGCACAATTTACTGATGGTTTGTTGAAATCATTATTCTAGCATATCTAACGCTTGAAATTATTGGTAAAACAATAGTTTGTGACGAGTCACTAGGGATTGATTCTCATGATCTATCTGGTTCTATACATTTTCATTTTAAAATATAAAGAAACACTCATATATTCAGATACCAGGCGTAGAAAGGAGTTACAGTGGAGTAATATTTCAAGTTTAATAATTTTTATAATCTTATAAAATAAATAAGTAGATTAAAGTCAGCGCTCTTTTTATACAATAAACGATCAAGCTAGCTGAACACAATGTAAAAAATTATATTTTTAAGTATGACATAAAAATTAAAAATAGACTTAAGATAAATCAAGAATAATTTTTATCGAGGGAATAATAGAATTGCTAAAGGTAGATAATTAAAAAAAAAAAAAAGGGATATTATTAATAGATGTTTTATCACCATTCTAATCTAATAGTATGTATTTAACGTAAATGTCTTAATTTGTATTTAACATCCATATAAAAAAATAATTCAGCTATTAAGGCTTGGTGCCCAACAATTGGACAGTTGCATTTTACGTAAACACACATTGTTTCCTATTTATACAGAGTGTTCAGTATAACCAATAAATATTAAGAGTCGTAAAATCCTGCCCCATAAGCATTGCACATTTCATTGTAGAATTAATATTATTCAGGTATGGTCATCCGAATGTAATTTTCCTTCAATTTACATTTTATGACAAACCATGTATGGTCGTTGTATCTTAACAAAGAATTCTTGATTATATAACGTATAGTTTTATTTTCACCTTGTAGAAAAACGAACTTCAACAATCCGTTAACCATAATATTCATATTCTATTTATTTATCCTTCCTCTTTTTTTTATGACAGTCATATTTCTCAAACACAACTGCCCTTTGTTAGTTCGACGCAGTAGCTCCGGGCTACAGACGAGTAGAATTGTCACATCAGCATCTCCCTCTATGCTAATTAATATGTATTACGAATTAAACAAAAAGAAATAAAACGTGTGTAATATAAGTGGTAAGAACATAGTAATAAATGTTTTTACAATTTAAAAATTAACCGATTTTAAAAATCGTATTTTTGGGGGGAAATTTTGCCCATTTACGGAGAACAAGGGTAAAATTTTCAATTATTGAAGGTAATGACTTCAACTAGATACGATTATTGATTTTTTGACGTATCGTTGAAAGAAATCGGTCTATTGAGAGCTGAGAAATAGTAGTGACAGGCACAAAAAAAAAATTAAAATATAAACACATCATGATAAAACTAATACCTTCCAGCTTCGCATCAAAACTAAAAATAGTTATAAAAATATTTTCGAACAAACTAAATGAATAAAAGCATTAGTGACATTGTTGGATACACAACGGTCGAATGTGCTGTCGAGAAATTTTATTGTGATTATTTATATCATCGTTGTGCTACACCGAGTTGTTGTCCTCTCTGTGTATGTCTTTATTGTCGCTGCCGTTGGGTCTATATATTTTTTAAGATACAATACCGATCATAGTATATTGTATACGTCGGTGAGATTCTTGCGTTCGACTTCAATTGATCTTTCAATATTCAACATTATCATCAGCCGTTTTAATTAGCCGATAATGCTTGTTCATCTTCTTTCTAAGATTTACTCACATTTATAATTTATTATTTGTTTATATCAGCGTCATTGTGGCATTAATATTAAGTGTCCCTCCTATCCACATTAGTGTATATAAGATTTTATGTTTCATGTATAATACATTTAATTGTTATAATTATATATTGTGAAATTTATCCTACATTCATTAATACAGTCCGCTCACCTTATTCTTTTACCTCGACATTGCCTGACTTAAGAAAAAATAAAACCACGAACGTTAATGAACCCACGTGAATACCATCGGACGCTACGTTCATTCGGACATTAAAGTTTTTTATTTTAGCTTCGATACGACGCTGAGAAGGCATTTTTTAATATGATATATTTTTATTTATTTATTATTATTATTTTTTTTGTGTCTATTACCACTCAATCTCATCTTTCAATACCTTCTCAGCTTCGCATCGAAGCTACAAAACTTAATAATTAATAAATCAAAAAATATATAAAATTAAATAATACCAAAAATAATTTTTTTCTTAATATAATTATTATTTTAACTTATGTTGTAATAAAATAATATTTATAAGTTTTGTATATTCTATATTATCTTCGAAACAAGGTTGCCGAATCCGCAGTGCCGAAAAGTTCCATTATCAATTTTTAGTGGTTGCTCATTAAGTATTTATATAAGTATAATAAAGCATTTGATGATGATAAATCCTCAAAAATTTATTATCGTAACACAATTTGATTTTTTGAATTCAAATTTGAATTCATTTTCAACGCTTTTAATGTGTTAATGTATTATATTTTCGTTTAAATAAATATGCACGTATTATATTTTTCAGTTTTTTATTTTAATTTTATTAAACATAAGAACAAATAATGGGAAGTTAATATCAATAAACGTTATATTTTTATAACTTGGTGAAATATTTTAAATATAATGTTGTAGTAAGTGTGGACGTAAAGACTGTCACAAATACAGCGGATTTACAAAAAATAATAATAGGGTGATAGTAATCCAAAATATTAATTTAAGCAATATTCTTTAAATTATACATGTGAAATCTATTAATTAAAAATTAACAATAATAAAATAATGAATTTTTCAAATCTACTTTTTAAATTCATATCGTTTATACATAGCCTTTACGATTTAGTGAAGCCTAAGTCTATAAATTTTGCATATATCTCTTAAGTTTACCATCAATATCATTGTTCATACAGTGTAAAATTTTTCCGAAACCCAGATTTTCATAACAAGATTTGTAAACATCTTCACAAAAATTGTCAAAATAATCACGAGCATCAAAAGCAATTTGAAATTCCTCACCGTAAATTGAACCATTTAATTGATTATTTGATGATTTTTTTACATTTTTAAAATCTTCTATAAAAGCATCTTCATTTTTAAAAGTATTAATTTCACACCGGGTATGATATTGACCTAGATCGGTGCTTAACTTTTTACTAAAAATCCTAAAATGTTCACTAAAAATTTGTAAAAGATTATTAACCTTTCTGATTTCTTTTTCTTCACTTGAAACTATTAAGCGATCATTATAAAATGTATTGTTTTTCAATAAACGGCGAAAATCTGAAACCCATTCTAAAACGTTCTGTAAACTCGATAAGGAGCTTAAATTAACACTCCATATTGATGATCTATTTAAACTAATTAATGCATCATACAATCCTTTAAGCATTCTTTGGGAGTTGCTTAATGAGTTAAAAAATAATATCAAACAATTGTGATAATATTGCTTTGCATGTGTGTTGCATACATTCATTGTAGCATTTATTAATGTACGATAATTTTTCATTATTTCTGTAAATCGACATCTTAATAATTGTGATACATGCTCTTTTTTTATACGAAAATTTATGTTACTAACTTCGTCTTTTATTACATAATCTACGCTGAAATATTTTTCATAATATTTAAATTTTAAATGATTCATCTCTGTCCAGCCAGATTGTACACGCATAATGTTAAGAGCGGCAATTCCATCATTTTGTTTTGTTTCAGGATCTATTGGAGGTATAAATCTATATTGAAAAAAGTATATTTTGATTATTACACAATTTCATAGATGATATAAATTTAATTATTATTAATGAAACATTATTTAATTTTTATTCAGATGAATTATGTAAAAATGTTTAAAAATGTAGAATTTATATTTAAAATTAATATTTATATGTTAAAGTATTGATAAATTTAAAAAATAATAGTATTTTAAAAGTATTTCTTTCGTACATTTTTACGAGCTAATTAATACTTTTGGGTAAATAGTGTGCATAACCTTACGTTTAACATTTATTACGCACAAAAATAGGTATTTATTTATAGGAACACACATTAAAAACACGTCAATAAATAGAAAAAAATACCAAAATAATGGTGTTGCACAATCTTACTAAAATGTAATTTTTTTCCAATAAATCAACTATTTAAAAAGATATAAAATATTGATTTGCTATACCAATATTTTAATATGTTTGTTGATTTTGTAACGATATTATTTCTTAATTTTTAAATTTTTAAACATCCGTTGAATATTTACTTTATAAAACGTTTCACAAATTGTTATAGTAATAATATACTGAAGCTTTAATTGTACATTTTTTTTATTATCTTAAAACATATTGAGCTATTTAATATAAAATATAAAATAAGAAAATAAATTTCAATATATGAATTCTTACTTGGCTAATATGGGGTTAAGAAATTGTTCAAAGCCTAGATTTTTGTACCAAAATTCTATAGTTCCATTGTATAACAGATTAAGATTATTCTTTATTGAATTTACAACTTCATGGATAGTTTTAGTATTTTTATCCACAATACTCATTTTAAATAATTCAGCTATTAGAGAAGTGTCCATTGTACTTTTATTATTTTCAACAAATTTGTTTATTAATACTATTGCTTCTGTATAAAAATGTTTTAATTTATTAAATTTAATTTCAGATGTATGAGCTAATTTGTGATCTGGATTTGGTAATTCGTTAAGATCAAATTCAGGATTTGGTGATTCGTTAAGATCAAAAGACCTAGTCTCTAAACTTATTTCTAAGACAAATTGATATATAAAGTCAATTTCATCAATTATAGGATGCGGCACAGAGCCTCCAGTAAATAAAAACCTTATATCTATGTAACTGATAAACTTCATAACACTGTGGAGACTTACAATCATAGTCTTGGATTTTATCAATTCTTTTTCAAGTAATTTTACACAGCCAATAAAATTTAACGGTGATTCTTTATTCTCGAATTTCTGACATAAGCTGATAATGATACCAAAGCCATCGAGGAATTTTTTTAGAATATCAGTGTATTTGAAATTGAGTACACTTATTGTATAACGATATCTATTAGTGAATTCTTGCAAGCCCGTCTTTGGCAGGAGAGCTTCCACTATACCAGTATAATTATTTGAATCTTGTCTTCTATACAATAGAATTTGAGAACAAATGTGATTCACCACTTCTTCGATATATAAGGCATATTTCATATGATAATTATTTCTGCAATGAACTCCTTCATCTGGTTTCAATACGAAAACAACAATGGATATTAAAATAATCAAATAAAATTTCATTGTAAAAAAATACTAATATGAAAAACTACTCGTTTAATATTTAATAGTACAATTACAACCTGATAGTTTAATAATGAACAAGTGCAAATGTCTTCATTATTTTTATATCATTTTTTCTTTAATAAAAATATGTATAAAGAATATAAATTGTTTTCTTACATTGGTAAAAATATATTTCCATCAAATAAAGCAGGTTTTTTCAAATAATTTTTTATAGGATGTATAAAATATATTGTCACCCACAATATGTTGATAAAATTCCTCTTTGAAATTCTGTGTTTATAACATCAAAATTGCTTATAAGAACTTTTTATGCTATATTATATTATTTTATATAATGAGACCTGATTAATACTTTCAAAAATAATTTAATTTGAATAATATTTAAAAGATTTATTTAAATTAAAAACAAAATTATAGTTTCATTTTCAATATTTTAATTTGATCAAAATGAAATGCGGGTTTTCAATTTCGAACAAATTTTGAGCATCCTGTAATTATTATTATTTGTTTTAGGTGTTAATTTACGAATTTCAATATATACATAAACGATTGAAATACTTGTATGTAAATATGTATTTCAGTTTGAATATGTGTCATATTGTAAAAAAAATATATGGTTGGAATAACTAAGTTTAACTTATTTAATTTTATTAAAAAATTTAAGAGATAGAAAATCAAATAAAAGAATTATAAATTATCGAAACCTTGAAATATGATTACATGACGTGTTAATGCCATAGAATAACAATGTAATAGAATACATTGTGTTCTATTGAAAATAATTAAAATTTTAATGTCATAAATGCTTTTATTTGTTTAATTTGTTCGAAAATCTTTTTAAAACTTATTTTTATTTTAAATATGTTTGTTGTGTGTATAGTGTAGCGGTTTAATTTATCTACTAATTAAAAAATGTATGAATATCCAAATTTAAATATATTATTTTAAGAAATGAAATAAAATCAAAACAAATAAACTAAAAAACCAAAAAAATAAAAAACTTAGTGTAATAAATATATCCAAATCATGAAATACGTTTACATATATCCTACGAACAAATAAAATATTTTAACATCATTTAGACTTTTATTTGTTCAGTTTGTCTAAAGATCTTTTAATAACTATTTTTTATTTTAAATGTCATTGTAGCGTATAAGGTAAAAAAACCCAGCACAGGAGGGTCGCGGCATAGTAGTGACGTGGCATAGTTGGATCAAGTATAATGATATTTGACAGTGATTAAAATCACTATCAAAAAAAAAAACGTTTTGATGCAAATCTTTAGATAGTGTTTAATTTTAAAAAAATTGGTGGATTATTCCAAAAGCTACGTGATCTGCTAGTTCCTTATTAATATTCAGATTAAGATAAAGTATGTCGAATAAAAAAGGGATTATTAAAAAATATTATTTCTCATAAAAAAATTGTGTTGATCCATACACTTTTCAATAAGTTATAGCATTATAAAGTTAAAAATGTAAAAAATAAAATCAAGAATTTCCACACATAAATAGCATTTAGTGGCCATTTTCACCGTGAAGATAAAATTAAGTCCGAAATTTTTTTTTTCCATAATAAAGTATACTACATTATCTTTAATTTAAGATATATATAAAAGTGTCAGCTTTCCAGAACATTTTCAAAAGTCAAGTTAAAAAGTTGTCATTTTAAATCCCCCCCTGTGAGCAGGTAAAGGGTCAGATTTATAAAAAAAATATACCAAATGATAGGTAAAGACATCATGCAAATATAAAAAAAAATTTTATTTATTCATACATTTTTCAAAAAGTTATAGCATTATAAAATTAAAAATATATAAAAGAATTTTTTTACATAAATCTAATTTTTTTCTATTAACTGATGTCTGTTTTCATCGTGAAGACAAAATAAAGTCCGAAAGTGCTGGTAAAGACATCGTGCATCTATAAAAAAAAATTATATTGATATGTTCATTTTTGAAAAAATTACGGCAGTTTTTAGTAAAAAAAATTGAAAAAATTGAAAAAATTGAAAAAATTAGCGAATTTTAAATTTGTAATTTTTTTAGAGGTTTCCCCCATTTACGGGGAACGACGGAAATTTTTTCAATTTTTGAGGGTATTGTTTTTGACTAGATACGATTTGTGATCTTTTGACGTATCGTTGAAAGATATCCGTTCGGTGAGAGCTGAGAAAAAGAGGTAACAGTCACAAAAAAAAAAACACATCATAGTAAAACTAATACCTTCTCAGCTTCGCATCGAAGCTAAAAATTTATGCTTTAATTTAATATTTTTATGTGTAAATAGCCCTTTTTTACTAATTAGTAAATTTGTCAAAATTTAAAGGCGATAAAAAAAATATAATCACGTAATTGAAATGCACCCGAAAATTTGGTTCTCAAAAAGGATGAGAAACATTAAAACTATTGAGCTATTCTATAGTTATAGAATCGATTTGAATAGTTGTAAAAACTATTCGGTTGCATAAAAAATTTGGAATAGATATTCCATAGTTTGTAATATTTTTAAAAATGACCATTATAAGTGGTTATAAACTATAATAATCTTATTCCAAGAATTATATTTCACTAAAAAAATAAAATATTTTTCCAAACAAAAATACAATTAATGGCTTAAATCAATATTTTAAATAAACCTCATTAATAATATTTTTAGTCGGCAATTGAAACTATAATGAAATATTGGTTCAAGTTGAGGTAAAGTACTAAAAAATAAAAAAAATGTTTTATTACTTTTAAACTAGTTAAAAACTCTGGTTTTTATATTTTATATAAAAAAATTATACTATCATCTAAAAAAAAAGTAAAATACATATTTTATCCGTGAATTATATTTAGAAATAGAAAAATCCCAAAATATTTCTGTAGTACCCTAAAAAACCCAACACAGGAAGACAAAACTGCTCTACATTAAAAATTAATTTTCTGCTATCATCCCTTATAAACTAAACTTTCGACTTTCAAATGGAAACCCAAAATTTTTGTTTATACTAAAAAACCCCAGCAGAGGGATGACGCGATATAAGTATAGTTGATATCTGACAGTGATTCACATGACTATCAAAAAACACTTCGATAAATATGTTAAATTTTTTGTTGAATGCATTTTGAAGTCAAATAATATGGTCCGGTAATTTTTCTTTTTTTCATCATAAAATATTGTTAATAAGCTTCAATTTTATATAGGTTTGATGAATGCAGATGTCCTAGAACATTTCAACATTTGAAAATATGTATTCTTTTTTTTTAATTGCAATTTTTTTTACTTTGACAGCCAATTAGCAGAACGATTATGGAGTGGGTTATTTTTTTATATTGTAGTACATTTCAAAATCTTTAATTTTGTATTGATTAAAAGCTGTCAGATATATTATCGTGATTTTGAGATATTTTTTTAAATTATTAAAACTGAGAGTTTATCAAATTTTCGGTGACAACTATTAAGTTCAACTATATTAAAACCGGATTCTTTTTATGCAAAATCTAACAAAATTGGTTCAGTGAGAGCTTAGAATTTTCATAGACAAACACAAAAATAGTGCACAATATCACAAAAACAATAATTTCACCGCTTCACATCGAAATTAAAATTAGGAAATTTTCATTTAGTCATCAAAATAGTTTACCTACGATTATAATAAAGCAATGAAGCAATATTTCTCGGGTTAAGCTGGGATGAGTATGGGTTGGGATACAAAATACAACAAAGTAACCCATTTTAATTAAAATAAAAATAAAACTTCATAGACACAAATTTAATAATCTCGCAAAATACTGCAATGTAATATTAATTATTTTTTTTTAATATTATATAGTTTTCTTTTTAATCTAACCGAAAATTTATGTTTTTAAATTATAACCTGTAATATCAGCTTGTTTAACGGCTTTATATCTACAACAAATATCGGTTTATTAGATGTTGGAAAAAATTTATATCAACTAACCCCTATTCTACTAATGAGTACTCGACTCATTTATTTTACACATTGTTTAAATATAAGTGGAGAGATAATTTTCAATATTCATTAATATTGCATCATGAGATTTTCTCTTGTACCCTAAGCAATTTATCAAACAAATAAATTTGTAGAGATAACAATATCATTGTGTAAATACTTACCTCGAATATATTTTGTAAGAAGTATGATTTTCATAAATATAATGTAATCTTATTTAACTATTATGGTATAATTCAAAATTAGGAGAGATTGGGCAAGTTAACACCCTTAAACTTAAATTAAATATTTTAAGGAAGTATTCATGAAATTTTAAATTTGACAGAAAAACTATTTGATATATTAAGAGTTCTTTATGAATTAGATAAAAATAAAAATATCAAATTCGTCATCTTGCTCCAGGCGTGGTGCAAGTTTACATTATTTAGGTTAAGCTTAAAAAAAACATTTTATTTGATCTACAAAGAAATTAAAAATATAGTATAAAAATATTTAATCGGGAAATCGATCTGATAACTTTATAAGGTATGTTTCTTGATAATTATTTTTTATTTTTTCAGGAATCGAGCTAGTTTAAGTAATTATAACAAATTATTGTATCAATATAAATTTTGTATTTTAATAACTTTCCCCACTTTCTTTATATTCAAAATTCTTATACTCCCTTAATTTAAATAAGAATTAATATTTTAAATATTTTATTTGTCATATTTTTCTTTAGCTATTGCAATAAAAAAAATGTTGATTTATTTATTTAAATTCACTTTAAACATAACAATAACAATATCAATTTTTCAGAAATAGTTTAAATTTAAAAAAACCCATGTGTTTATTTAAATTATTTTTAAAGGATTTATCATTATTTGGCCAATACATTTAATAATATTTCTATAAAAAGTTCGCAAACATAATTACGTTTTATTGAAATCCAAAATTATTACCTCAAATCCGAGCGTCAAACTGTCTCACTCTCTTCTAAACAAAAAAGATTTACATATAAAAATAGACTCAACTAAAATACCATTTTTTGGAGATTGTGA